TGGGTATCCCTTGTTCGTGTGTGTCGTGCCTTGACCGCACGACGCAGCTGACCACTTGCCGTGTAGATTTATAACGTTTTGTGTGCACTGGGAAAATGTGCATTTAGCATTAAGAAATGTTAAAAAGATATGATCCAGGTCGTCGCAAACGATTCGCATTATATCTTTTTTTACCTCGTATCCAAGAGAGTAAATGCTAAAATATATAATGCTAAATATATATATAAAGGAAAGAAGGAGGTGCCTTAGAATCGATCGCTGCAAAGTCCCTTTTTTCTTTATAAATACATTTTAACCAAGTTATAGAAAATATATAAATATATATAAAGTGTATATTATATATAATTATTATATACAATGCTGGTTTGAAATACTTTCTGGATGAAACATGATTTCCCTCTCTCTCTCTCTCACTCACTTTGTGGATGTTTCCGGACTGTGCTAAGGTATATTTGCAATAGGAATTGTAGGTCTGTGAAATAGGAACAATAATAACAACAGAATATTACAGTCGAGCTCTCTCTTGTTATTATTGCAGTGGAGACTGTGAGAGAGATGCCCTATATGCATATAGAAATCAAATTTACTGAAGCAAATAATACTTACTCGTATAAAGGGGATACGATGATGACATAAAACCATCACTACATGCAAGAATAAATTAGCTAATAAAATAACAAGATAAAACGCTACAGTCGAGCAAGCCCGACAGTAAAATAGCCTGTACTGCCCACAAAAAAAGAAAAATTAAAAAAAAAAAAATTTAAAAAAAAAATTAAATTATTAAAAAAAATTAATGAATTAATTAATTAAATTAAATTAGAATATATGTTTATGTTTAGTTTTAACAGCATACATTTACATCACGTACCTATGCGTGTTTATATGCGTGTATGTATGCAGCACAAAGTTGAACCAAAGCAGCAACAACAACAACAGCTGCGGGCAGCGCTGCCGACAGAGGCAGCGCATGAGCAGCGATTTTACTTATGGCTATAACTTTCTTCAGAATTGACCTATCATGATGAAATTTGGCACACGGACACATTAGTACTAACTGGATGTACCTACCAAAATTGATTTCAAAATTCCAAGAATTACGGAAGTTATAAGAAAAAACACGAATTGCGGGGGAGTGGGGGGGTGCATCGAAAAAAAACTCAAACTCGTACTTTCTCGGTCTTAGGAGAATATGGAAACCAAGTTTGGTTATTCTAGCTCTTATACTTTCTGAGATCCTTGCGTTCATACGGACAGACGGACAGACAGACGGACAGACGGACAGACGGACGGACGGACAAGGCTATATCGACTCGGCTTCTCATCCTGATCAAGAATATATATACTTTGTGGGGTCTGCCACGCCTCCTTCTGTGTGTTACATACATGCGCACAAAACTAGTATAGCCTTTCACCCTTTGGGTACAGGCTATAATAACTAGTTTAAGCAAATTTAAAAATTCCTCCGCTACCATAATTGTTATTTTAAGCGCACGTAGATAAGTTTTCGGAAAATGTCAGCTAAGGTTCCATATTCGATATTTTTATCTTTAAGAAATTTAAAAGAAGTTGCACCGCTTGTATTTTATTTCAGGTTTTTGTTTATTTTTAAACATGAGTGGAATGTTAGAGTCGAGTGAGCTCAACCCTCAGATACCCTCTACACACTCCTACGAAAACAAAAAATTTTAATATTATTGTAATACCCTGTATCCGTAGGGTAAAAAAATTATAAGTACATAAAGGTAAGTTTCTAAAAACAAATGTTACATAGAAATATTTTGTGTTATTTAAGGTTAACATTTCGTTTGGAACGTTGTGGCTATACTTGGAGGTTGTCGTTTATATAGCAATTCTGGGCTTTAAAAAGCAAATGATTCGTTATTAGAAAACTATTTAAAAATGTAACCCAAATTAAAATGGTGGCCAAACACAGTCGATCTATAACATAAGACGCAGCCTCTACACGTAACAGGTTAGAGTACAACCACTTTAAGGGTATTCGTTTGTGGATTGCGCTTCCAAATCGAATGTAGGCAAGTGAGGAACATTTTCCTATGGGTTGGTTTTAACCTTTCAGGCTGTGTGGTTTCATGCCGTTATCAGACCCGTCTCTGTTTCTGACAGTGTGTATGCCCGAGTGTGTTGTTGCTCGAATGTATAGTATGTTTTGGATCAACGTTACGCACGATGTTGTGGGCTGCTAATGCTGGCCACCTGGAAAATGACATGAAAGCTGCCCACGCTCGTATTTTTAACGCTTATTAAATATTTAGGCAGGAAATCGAGAGAGAAGCAGCAGTGCTTGTGATAATGGCCTTTATTGGATGGTAAGCCAGGAAGCAGCAAGCCGCAGGACTCTCCTGCTCCTCTGCGCCCCTACAAACCCCATTCGCCATTCATTTGTGTCGGTAACATGCAGCGTGCCAGGATTCTGTGCCACGATTTCCAACGGCAGTGTGCAGTGCCATAAATGTCGTTGCTGCTGCCGCTCGACTAGCAGCTGACTTCAACAAACTTTAATTATACGCACAGCAATACCCACAATACTCACACACACACACACACACACGCAAACACACACACAAACACACGCGCAATCAGACCGTAATATTGCCTTGCTGGGTGAGCTGCATCGCCTGCATGGCGCACTTTGGCAAACAGGAAGCAGCCAACAGCGCCCTTTTTGTCTGCGCCACTCGCCAGGCCCATTAATTTAAGCGAATATACAAATACATATACATACTTGTATGTATGTATGTATATGAATTGAGACATACATATGTAAGAGCAGGAGTAAACAGCTAGTCAGAAAGCCCAGATAGGCAGTTATGTGCACGCATCCTCATGGGATATGGGACATGGGACGCGGGACAGGCGACCATTGCGAATTGCAAAATGCGCATAGTGTGGGTTTCGCAGCACGTTTTCCCCCTAGTAGTTGACAGAATAGCATGTTATAAATATTTAGTTGTCTCTCCACGTGTTGGTTTAGATATACGAGTGAAACTACAAAAAAGTAAAAATGTGCAAAAATGAACCTAAGTGGGAGAAGAAGAATTCCAAATGTTTGGAATGAGTCATTAAATTATTGTATTTATTCCTAAGGGAAGTCTTATCTGCGGACCTGGAATCACGATCCTCAACCCTCTAATGTCAAGTTAATTTGAGGTTCACTTTCTGCATTCCACAGGATCAAAGGATGAGACTTTCCATAATCGGACTGGGAGAATTTAACAAGGCAATTTAACAATAGTGTGCTATTTGCCACTTTAAGCAGAGCTTAAAAACTAATACAATGTACTTTTCAGTACAATTTATTTACAGTATTTCCATTATTCAAAATTTTTTCATTTTGTAAAACATGATTCTATGCCACAACATATAATTTGGGTCGACCTAAATATTAACAAGAGAGAATGCTTCAGTCGAGCAAGTCCGATCGCCAGTGAAATTATATAAATTCTTAAATTATATATATTATTAATCAGCATAATGTACGTCCGTTTGGATGATCGCCTGATATGTAGACGCTACTAGGCCGTAGGCAGTTCACCAGTCCATTTTATTTTATTGATCCCCCTCTCAATGCTACAGAATTTCAATGCGGTTCACAAAAGCTACATCATCCAAACTTTGAACACGTAATCTATATACAATTATGTATTAGTTAAAAATTTTATTTAAATCACAAACTGCAGCATCAAGTTCGCTCTGCTTCTCTTTTTTTGATTCTGTTATAGGCGCATATAACATAATTCAGTGCCGTTAGTTTGTCTGGGTACAGGATATTACATTGTAGGGCTTGCTTGACTATAGCGCTCTCTCTTGTTTTCAAAAAAATAGACATATAAGTTTGACTGATTGTTTACTATACACCTTTCGTTGTACTCTTTCGCTTTAAGAATTCAAAACAAGTGGAGAAGTTAATGTCGGGTGTTCCGACTTTGAAATACTCTGTACATATGTATGTGTAGAATAATTATGGAAATTAAACAACTAAGAGGATTAAAAACAATTTTTTTAATCGATTTTATCTCAAAATCAAAAAATAAAAACACATTAGGCAATCCTTGTGCATAATTTGGTGTCTCTATCTCTTATAGTCTCTTAGATTTAGATGATCATACTTCATATAGATCTACTCGTCTTGTCATGCTGATGAAGGATATATACTTCGTCCTCCTTTTGTCTGTTACATTTTTCACCCCCCGCAAACCTAATATACTCTCAACATACCATTATTATTTATTCAAGTGTTCTAACGCGGGCTTAAAATATGATGGAAAAAGATATAATTTTCATTTCAATATTATGTTTGTTTTAATAACGGAGAAACAAAGTCCTTACAATGCAATTGTTTGTTTAGAATCGCCTTGCAAATGGCATTGGTCCGGTGTTTGTAATGCTCAAAGGGCGTGATATTAAAAGCACATTTAAGGCACATTAATTATCAGCATGACGAGACGAATCGATAAATTCATATCCGTCTGCCTATTTCTATGCAACTTATTCTCAGTGTGTAATTTTCCTAATACAAGCTATTAGCCGCATGTTATACATATATAACTTATATATAATTGATATTATTGATATTGCTTATAAAACCTCTATGCATATATATTATAAATTGATAAAAATCAGCACTCTAGATATTAAACAAGTGGAGACAGACTGGATGTTGAAAGGTCTGCTGAAGTATTGAAAGATGGTGCCAAGACTGATTGAGAGGCGAACACTATACTATACTATCAGATAGCTGGTAACTATGACTGTGATGTTCATTTGGAAGGGTATATGAGCTTCGCGTCTGTTTTGCGAGCTAGGTTTGTTTTCATATGAAGTGGCTTGCTTGCTTGAAGCACGCATTTGATTACCAATTCACAGGTAACATAAATATTTTATTTACTAGGGTCACATACACACATACACGTACACGTACTCGTTCTTGTACAAAGAGCAAGGAGCGCTATCGAAATGATGGAATTTGTTGCACTTACCACACACAGAAAACACACGAGTTGCGGAATACGAAGCAATAAACTTGGCTGGCCCTCAGGTGAAGTTACGTGTGTGTGTGCGAGTATGTCGGAGCACGTTAATTTTGGCAAAAGTGGCGCCAGCCGGCTGGGTGACTACGGTGGCAACGATGACTGAGGACTCACTCCAAGAAGGCCAACATGTGTGTCGAGCCTTGTGCTTTTGTTGTTGGCGCGATAGGCGTCAAACACATTGCGCTCCCAACTCGCTCAGTGGTTTTGCCTGTCTCCTCGCCTTTCCTTTAGATGCTTCGGCAATCAGCTGTGCTGTCAAAATTGGAGCAACCGAATGCTGGTCGGGTTTTTATTTTTTGGTTATATGTGGGGGTTGGACGTGCTCAGGCTTCCGTTTGAAAATTGTCAGAGCACTAGAATGCAACATAAAACTATAACAACCTCACTTATTGCAATTATATTGAACAATTCAAATTTCAGTGCTTCATTGAGGCGCAGAAATTTGAACTTACACTTTTTGTTAATGCTCGTGTTTAGTACCGCACCCATGCCAGCCACACTTTATATATTTAAGCAGATATACAGATATGTATGTAAGTATGTATACATAGGCAAGTGTGTATGTAAATTTACATAAATGAGTGTTAAAGTTATTGTTGTTGTTGTGAACACGATTTATGTAAACGCTGCGTGATGAACATTTAACTCAAAACGCGCGCGTCGCGAATCCTTTACACGAATTGGGTCACATTTTTAAATGATGAGGTTCTGAATATTTTCCTTGTTGGTGCTTGCGGTCGCACAGTTAAAATGCTCAAAAGTATGCTTATGTTTTTTTTAATACTAACAACCGTTTTTTTATGCTCACAATAATCAAGTTTTACTGTTAGCTCGCGCGTATCCGGTTCCGTTTCTGTTCGCGACTGAACTGAAACTGAAAAGTGTTGCGAGAGCAGAGCGGCTATACACGTACATTTATATATACACGCTGCACGCACACATAGAAGTGCACGTGGCATGCCTCTGCAGTGTTGCTGGAGCAGATGGCGAAGTGTGTGCGGCGTGGCCAGATTGTTGGTATCTTCAACGTATTCAGTTGTGTTTTTTGAATATTTGAAATTGAATTTATTTCTTTATATATTTGTTTGTACAATAAATAATTGTAAGGATTGCATTATCTGCTTATTTATATTTTACATTTTTTACGGAAAAATAAATGTGTCGGATGCAACGATGCACTAAAAAGTGGTGCAATGCGCAGGTCCGTTATTCGGCTTTTATAGTAAGAGCTTTTGAATTGACATTCCTGGCTTTCAAATTAGTTTGTAACAAATTTATCGCTTGAAATGGAGTAAATGGTCCCTTTTCAGTTGAAATAAGTTTCATTTTCACTACATTGTCTTACTTAACCATATAATATATAAAATAATATAATATATATATTTGCAAGCAATTTTAATTGCACTGCTTCTTCATAGAAAGCTCAAAAGAAAATGAATATGTCGAACGGCCTTAGAAGATAACTGCTTGTGCTACAAAAACTTTTCATTTTTGCTAATACAACTTTTATGTTAACTGATTAGAACTACAGAAAAGTATAGCAAGTTATAGCCATATGAGAACATTGTATATACTGCTTTATAGTCCCAAGCAGAGCCCAACTTACAGTTATTTAATAGCAACAGGGTGACTCCAGGCACTACGGCTTATGTCTGAGATAATAAATAGTATAAAAACTGTTTTATTTTGTGTTTAGCAGGTGGCGCTTTTGATCTACCTTTGTGGCATTTCTGAACAGCGCCATCTTTTGCTAATCATACTCAACTAATTTGAACACCTAGTTCCGATATATTATGATAGACAATCGATCTCCACGAGGCAAGCTTGCTGGTACACGGTTACAGCAAACCTTTAATAAAGTACTTATTGTTTTATGTTAAACACATCCGAATTATATATTCAGTAGGGAATATTCGAACTTCCCACACCTTTTGGTAAATGTGAGCCATTAAATACTGCGATGAGCACGTATTTATTACTGAGTAAATGCGAAGAATTTTATATAGACATTCGAATAATTATAATTAACAATGTTCCGAAGCTGTTGCAACTTAGGCTAGCCAAGCAATTTTCTTATATTCGATCGTTTTCAGTTACGTCTTGCATCGTCTATGTAGTTCCAGAGATGCCTGATAGGTGAGCTTGTGATGTTATAGGTTTGAAGATTTCAATAAAACGTTTGACAGGTATAACCAATAGGGGGCGTTTTGTTCCTTTGGATGACAAGTGTTTTATTGTGTTGCTAGCAGGTGGCGAAATGAAATTTTAAATTATATCACAAATCTACTCATTTTCGTGATTCTGCCCAATGCGTGAGTGTGAGTTAGCTGCTTCTTCTATTCTTGCGCAATTCGTGAGCAGTGAGCGGGTTTAATCTTTTGAATACCGTGCCTGTGTGCTCCTTACATGTAGATAGAAGAGTTGTACATACTATACATACATACATTAATTTATTCTAACTTAGTGCGATTGTATGTAACATACAAAAGGAGGCGGGTCAGAGTATATATATTCTTGATCGTTATGACGATCCCCATACCTTCGACTGTCCGCCTGACCGAGCAACAAGATCTTTTGAGCCATAGAGAATATATAACGATATGAATGATTCTTGGCGCCTTTTATGAATCTTAGTAATTATTTCTGATCGTGAATTCCCCTTCTCACTGTTCATTAGTTTCTCTCCGAGAAAGTCGAACTTCAACGTATACATTTGTCAAATTCTTTCATTCAATGGATTACAGATAGAGGGATGGGCAGAGAGATATAATATTTTCGGTGTTAGATTATACAGTCTGGACTAAAATATGACGACACGAGCATGGCCAACTCCACAAATCCACCACCAATCCACTGGAAATGTCTAGGTAGCGTTATCTGCCTATCTGTACGAGCTCAAGGATCTCAGCACAAGAGCTAGAAGATCCGACAAAATTGTAATAGAGGTTCCCCTAAGCCCAAGGCAGATACCCTCACTCCCCCGCTATTAGTGATTTTCGATAACTCCTAAAATGCTTGAAACTTGTTAATCATATTTGACAAATGCAGTTTATTTTAATTAATTGCCCGTTGATAAAAGGGTATATTAGGTTTGTATGAAGTACGTAACAGGCAAAAGGAGGCATCATTCCTAATGAGCATGACGAGACGACATGTCCGTCCGTCTGGATGAACGCCCGGATTTCGGAAACGGCTAAGCGCATATTGACCAAACTTGGCATGTACGTGCTCCTAGTCCTTATGCTACACGAGCTTATTTTGTGTTTTTGATTTCCCATCACCGCGATTCAGAATTTCGTCAAAATGTATAGTAATGTCCATTTCAAAAGCTGCATAAACTAAATATGGCACAAACTTAAAACTTTCGTTTTAAATTTCATCCAAATTGGTCAATTCTAAGAAAAGTTATTAACGAAATAGTTTCACTCCAGTACTACGCCCACATACTGTAGCATTAAGTTCGCTCTTCTTCTTTTTGCTTCTGCTAGGGGCGGAACTTAGTGCCGGAAGTCTGTCTGGATACAGGGTGTTTCACTGTTGGGCCTGCTCGACTGTAGCGTTCTCTCTTGTTTTAAATTAATTTTTTAAATATTTTTTTTTATTTTTATCCTCTTTGGTGTTAAGCCCGCTCGTCTTTAGCATTCCTTTCTTGTTTTAAATTGGAACTTTAATTCTGTTTTATTGAGAGTTACTCAATTAATTTTCCATACACAAGACAGGCAATACATTTCCCCAAATGTGAGGCATTAACACAATGAGTTAGTAATCCATTAGTTCATAGCTAGCCATCTTTGCATGGTCTGTGCGCTTAGATCCCATATACATACGAATATATCCAGTTTATTTGTAGGCCTAACTTATTTATTCCTTGCTCTTTAGCTTAAGCTGGCAAGTGCGAGCGAAAAGGTATCTGCAAAGTTTAATGAATTTTCGTTAAATGTTAATTAAAAGCTGGCTCGCTACCTGTGCTTGCTCATTAAAACTTTGCGTTTTTGGCTTTGCGTAGCTTCTGCCCTTGTTCTTGTTATTGTTTCCTTTTTATTTGTGCACAATGGCCGCTTTTCGGCACAATGATAAGCAAAATAAGTGGCATCAGCCTGCGCGCACACACACAATGGAGGTGTAGGGCCAGTTAATTACCAGGGCTCAGGACAGACATACAGATATACTAAGTAAGTTGCAAAGATTTCCAATTATTTGCCTGCAGCATTGAGACAAATGAGACGCAAAGAAGTTGTTGGCATCGCCGTTGGGATAAACACATGTGGCAGGCAGGCAGGAACTTTGGGCAACTTCAGCTAACTTTAGGGGGAGGGAGAGCAGTTGCTGAGCTGTGAATGAAATGTGAAAAATCATAAAACTTTTTAATAAACACTTTATTGATGGCAATCGACAGTTACGAAAATGGAAATGAGCTGCAGCCAAAAAAACAATCTACGCCGCCAAATAATAACAAGAATTGTCAGAAACTTGTGACGGCTGCATATTTGTGAGTACTCGTATACGGGCTGATGAAGGGGCTGTTGGAGGACCACTATCTGGGGAAAAACAATAAAGAGCTCAACTGGAAGTTATAAAGAAAAAAAAATGGCCAGCAGGCAATGCGACTGTTCGCTGACAAGCAAAAACAATGAAAGGTGACACTCGTCGCTTCAACTCAACTTCACAAAGAAAGAGAAAAAAACAACCTCTGCCCGCCTTCGAGTGGCAAGGTGTATGCATTGCTTCATTTTTATTCGGCTGTCCCTATTCCAGGTCTGTCCCTTGTCTGGGGCAGAAAACAATCGGTGGGGTCTTGACGCGCTTGTCGTCATTGCTGTCCTCATCGTCGGCATTATTGGCAAAAGTTTTGCGTGCGCTTTTGGGCATGCACAGACTTGTGTTTGGGGGCGGCCGTTACTCGATTCCTTATTCACGATTCACGATTCTGGATACTGGATACTGGATTCTGGATTCTCGGGCTCTCTCGCACTGTGTACGCAGCAAATTTTTTAGCTGATTGAAATTAGTTGAAGCATAAAAAAGTTTGTTTGCCAACAATTTTTGATGCAAAAATATTTCGTTGCAAAGTAAAATTATGACTGCTTTGCATATTTTTCGGTTACGTACCAATGTAAAACTTTGCCTTTCAACTTATTGGCAAATGTTGGAATTTATGGCCTAGCTGTAATGTTGGCTCTCCTTTTTTGCACGCGCTGTGGTTTAACGAGTTGGTCCTTGCCCTACCTCTACTTCCCTCTCGGAGCTTGTAGCCTTTGTTTTGGGCTTTTGTTTTATTTCTATATTTTTTTCGTCGGTTTTATTTGGCTGTTCTAATGGAATTAGAAGCACCCGGGCTGCCTGTTGACTTTGCTCAAATTGTTATTGACTTTGCAGAGCGCCATTTTACCACAGATACGAGTACTTGTATGTAACTTCGCATGTGTTAGTTAATTTGTAGTATACGAGTATAGCTGGCAGCAGTGAAACAGAAGCTGAGGCTCTTATCCCAATTGGAAGACGCGAAGATCCCAACAAAATTACGTCACATAAACAAGCAAAAGGAACTAACGCAAACGTAGCGCAAATTGTAAGTGAATAATTATGTTATTTTGTGGCTTAATGAACTTAGCAGAGAGCGCAGCAACAGCAACAGCAGCAGGAGCAGTAGCAATAGATGCTTCCATAGACAGCAGTGATGCTAGACAGCATTGCGTATACGTAACGTGCCAAGCCAGCGGCGCTTTTGACGTTGCTGCCTCTAATCACGACGCTGTATGCTTCAAGTAGCAACACAAAAATTTAATTACGCCTGATTCAGCTGCGAGCTGCGAGCTGTGAGTTGCAAAC